TTTGGGTTTCCTTTCTGTTCCTTCTCCTCCTCCTCCCTCCTGCATTCGTTTCTTCCACCTCCCCCTCTTTTTTCTCTCTTTCACTTCTTTTTACTTTCCACATTCTACTTTCTCTGATTCTTTTCCCCCTTCCCCTCAGCCTCACCACACTCTCTTCCTCCCTATTCTCCCTCTCCTCCCTCTTCTCTCCACCCTCCCCTCCCATCGTTTTTCCTCCCTCACTCTCTTTCGATTTCATTTTTCCGTCTCCCTCTCTTCTACTCTTTTCCTTCTCCTCTGTTCCTCTTTCTCCCACCTCTTTTTTCATGCTCTTTTTTCTCATTTCCCCTTCCATCTATCAGGATTTTTTTTTCCTATTCCCAACTCCACCTTTTCCCCTCTATCCAAAACTTTCCGTACTTTACCCAATCTCTCCTTCTATTCCTTCTCTCCTTCTTAACTATCCTCTTCAGGCTCCATTGCATTTTTCTTTGATGTTTTCCTTCAAGGTCATGTCATTCTTTATTCTTTCCATCCTCCCTTCTTCTTCTGCATTACCTCTCTTTTTCTTACTCTATCTTTTAACCTAACTAAAACCATCTTCTCTTTCCCCCTCTTTCTTCCTATCTCTTTTACCTCCTTTATTCCTCCCTCCTTCCCCATCTCTAGCCATAGCTTTTCTACCGCTTTCTTTTGCCTTCCCTCCTCTACCTACACCCCTTTCACTACTACATTGTTCCTCCTTCTGTCTCTCTCTTCTAACTCTCTCCATTTTTCTAGCTTTCTTACCTTCGCTTCCATTGTTTTATCTTTTTTTTTATCCCCCACTTTCCTTCCACTTTCACTTCTCCCTGCCCTTTCTTCCTCCCATCTCTCCATCTCTTAACTAATATATTTAAACTTATATATTAGTTAACTTCTTTATATACACTACCACTCATTAATTTCAATATACCCCTATATTTGTTAATTTCTCTGTAAAGGACATGATGAACATGATACATATGTTTTGTACAGAAATGAATACATTTGCTGTTATAAACACTTGCACATGCATTGCATTTTTATATATTATTTATATAAAAATGCCACGCATGCAAGTGAAATGTTTATAACAGCAAGTGAATTCATTTCTGTGCAAAACACGTATCATGATGTTCATCCATTACAGAGAAATCAACGAATCTGTTGTATATTGAAATTAATGAGAGGTAGTGTATATAAAGAAGTTAACTAATATATAAATTTAAATATATTTGCAATATAATAAATATTTTTATAATATATAATACCTTTCTCTATATTGTTCCTTCTCTTTTACTTCTTTCTTCGTTTTCTATCTCTATATCTTTCTCTCGTCTTAAATTACTTTTTATTTTTGTATAAACAGCTTAAGGTATCGATACAATAAATAATACTATAAAAGCTACATTTGGATGGAACGGTAATAATTTACACAACCTATTATACCTCTATAATTATGTTAAAATCATAATAGCGTAATGAAAACGATTCATAGAAATAAATGTGACAGTATTTATGAAATAAAATTAAGTATGAAATATACATTTAAGAAATATTACTTTAATGATCATATTATCTTACGCGTTATTAACATTCCATACAGGCAAAGCAAATAGATACTATGATATACAGGATACCTTTAAACAATTGTTTCATTTTTTAACATTTTTCAGATATATTGTAATATAATCGTATAATCGTCATATTTTTTTACACAGGAATACTAACGCAAAATTATTCGGACATTGTCACTACTAAAATTAAAAAATCAGATGAAGGGTTAGGTAATGTACATATTTTTAATTCACATATCTCTCATTTACTACCGACCATCATTTCATAATGATACATTTGCAACGAAATAAATACGCCAATACTTAAAACGTATATCTGTAATCTAAACACAAGTTTTTATATTCTGGAAACGATACAAGTGTCTTAAAATACTTTTTACTTGTTTCTAACCAGCATAAAATATCGATACTACCCGAATAGTATAAAAGCTACATTTGGATGGAACGATAACAATTTAGACACCCTACCTCTATAATTATGTTAAAAAATCGTCAGATATACTGTAATATAATCGCCATATTTTTTTTCACAGAAATACTAACGCAAATTATTCGGACATTGTCACTAAAAAATTAGATGAAGATAGTTTGTAATCATACAAAGATACTGTTTAGTTAATGTACACATCTTTTTAATTCACATATCTCTCATTTACTACCGATCATCATTTCATAATGATACATTTGCAACGAAATAGATACGTCAGCAACATTCGAAACCATCGACTGGAAAAAGCATTCTTCTTGGTCTATTCGTTGTGACGGATAAAATCGTATAATTTCAGCACTCAGCAGTGGATTCACTTCAATTGATGCGATTTTAAGACAGAGCTTAACTCAATGAATCCTCGTCGTTACTAAATATGCTTACAAGGCCTGTGAATAGCGCATAATTTCCCTGCCATGCGCATATCTTTCTTTTTCGTGGCTGTATCTTGATTAGGCATCATCTTGTCCGCAATATGCTTATAGACTTTTCCATTCAGCATTAACGTAAAAAAGCCGTCGTACCATCTGAAATCGTTATATATAATTGTCTCGTTATAATCAATTTTATAATAAGTGTTTCCTCTCCGATAGCATAAACAAAATTAATTTTAGGAAATCTAAATTATTTTATCATTTTCTGAAAGTAGAATAAAAAACGAAACTAAAAATCAAGTTCTTTTCAAATAATAGACAACTTGAATTAATTATAATTAATGTTTATAAGAACAATTTTATATTACTATTAAAAAGAATGTTTAGAGCACTGATTACACTTACATTTTCTGGTTAGCGCTTATTTTATGACATGTTGTATTTTCCAAATTTTACTTCCAAAACACAGAAAATACCTTCCAGCCTGTGATGACACCACGTATACGCCAACGAACCTGCACGGTATCGTTTTCAGAATGCATTGTGATCTTTAGGATGTCAAGCTTGACGTGTGCAAACTTCATATGACCAATGAACCTTAATAGTATCAATTGCTTCGCATAACTCACAAGTTCCCTGCAATATTTTTTAAGCATATTATGAGAAAATGGAAATACTTAATGCTAAAAACTCTCAATTGCTTTGAATACTTAATAAAATTAATTTTCGTTACTCCTCTAATATTGTTGATAAAAATTATATCATAATGGATAATAGGGACTCAATTCACAAATATTTTAGCATAAAAAACTTGCCTACAATACAAATTGCGCTACAGAACACTTTCTCGTTCTTTTCAACTTTTACAATTTACAAGACAGCATATACGTACATACATGTGCAATTTTGGATACACCTTCCTTCTTAAAGATCTCTTCGGTATCAGCTTCCTGCGGTCAATATATAGCGGCAAAATTGTATACCACGTAGTTGAATATAAAATGTTCCTGCGTGAGAAAACGAGAGAAAAGGAGGACATTTATAATAGGTAATGACACACGATGCAAACCACGCAATAGTGTAAATTCGGGATTGGGGGAAGAAAGAAGGGGTAAAGGAAAAGAGATTCTTACAATTAGAAGCACTCTGTAGCAACTCGTATTATCTAGCACAAGAGGACCTCTTGTGCTAGACAATTATGCCTCAACAGTGTCTGACAATGAGAATTATTATATTTTGAAGACGCGAGATTGTACATTCAAAGCATCTAAGTTAACGAAAGTAAAGTACAATTTAAACATACTTCGGAGAAATCTTTATTACGCGATAGTGCCTGTCACAACGTGCACATAGATACAGATCACTTTCTCGTTCTCCTAATTTTTACAACTTTTACAAGACAGCATATATGTATACGTACGTGTGCGATTTTGGATACACCTTCCTTCTTAAAGAAAATCGGCATCAGCTCCCTGCCGTCAATATATATTTCACTATATCACTATATCTATCACGCGGCGATGGTCACGACTGTCACTATCTATTTATTTCTAGGTTATCGCTGCATTCCAGCATAAATTTTAACAGCTTCATGCGTCTGTGATTGAGAAAAAAATCTGATAAGTACCAGCTCAATATAATGCAACATATACATATACGAATATGTATATACATTTTAGATAAAAACAGTCAGTAAACTTTTATAAAACAATACTCTTTGAAATAATACAAGCAATAATATAATTTTTATAATTACCTCTCTATATTATATTTTAAATGTGCATGAATTTTCTTCTAACGATATTTGTAATGTTATCAACTTTTCACGCTTGTTGAATATATTTGCACCATGAGCACCAATAGCTAATCCCATCATATCTTCTCGAATATTTTAAATTTATCGGTATATCTAAAATAAGACAAATTTTACATAATGCAAATGCAAAAACAGTAATTGTTACTTACGTCTGCTTATATATAATATACGATATATATATAAAATATACGATTACAAAGATAAATCTGTATCAAAAATCTATAGTTACTGTAACGTATATCAGATTAGATTTGTACGAGCAAGCAATAAATATTGAAACATTACAAATGACGTTAAAATATATTAATATGTAAAATATAATTTATATATATATTTATATAAATAATCCCACTAACCTCGCGCAACCGATGCCAGCTGTCACATCACACGACACATACATATTTATATAAATAATCCCACTAACCTCGCGCAATCGATGCCAGCTGTCACATCACACGACACATACACATATGTATATATACATACATACACGCACGCGAAACTCGCAGCGCGATCTCGATCGCCGCATCATATCGACCGCACGCACGCATCGGCCAATCACGCACGCGGAAAAGCGGCAACAATACTATTCGACCACGGGCCAACTTCTCGCGTCTACATGGATTTTTTTATTATAGACTAGCACACACGCGCGCTACGCGCGCGCTTCAAACTTTTTTCGTTTCATTTCACCTTAAAACACTCATCCCACATCACCATTTCTCTTCGTTAAAATTTATTCCCTTTCTCATCCACTGTACCAATTTCCATTCGCCACCTCTCGTTTCTTATTTTCTCTCCGCTCACTTCACATATCTGTCTCTCCCATATTTTGTTTTCTTCTTTCTCTTTTACTTTTCGCATAAGACTTATCACACTTTGCTTCCTCGGCTCTCATTTTTTTCCTCACACTTAACTACTCCTTACACTGCACTAACGCGCGCGCCATCCATGTCCATATATTTCCCGTTATATTTATTCTAAAATATTTATCCCATTCCACTATTTCTCTCCGTTAATTCATTCCTTTTTCTCCTCTAATGTACTAATATCTAATCGTCACCACCTCCCATTCCTCTTCCCTCTCCGCTTACTTCACGTACTTATCTCTCTCATATTTTATTTTTTTTTCTTTTTATTTCTCATATAAGACTCATATAAGACATATTACACTCTAATTTTTTCATTCGGTACCTTTCTTTGTTTGTCAACAGCAACGTAAACAAAATCGGGCTTAACGGGAACCCCTGTCTAACTCCCCTTCCTGTTCAAAACCTCTCTTCCAGCTTCTCTCCCACCCTTACCCTGCATCCCTCAACAGCTCCTTACATCTCATCACCAAGCCCTCCCTCACTCCTCTTTTCCTCATCGCTTCCACCAGAATCTTTCTGTCCACCGAGTCAAAAAAGCTGCCTTCAAGTCCACGAACAACACCACCATTTTCCCCTTCTTTAATTTACCTGCCTATTTATTAAGTAATTTAATACATAGATGTTGTCCGTAATCCCTATCCCTCTCCTAAACCCTGTCTGACTCTATGGAAGCAATGCCTTCTCTTCTACCTCCTTCCTTAACCTTTCCGCCAAAACAGCAGCGCTTTATTGTATGCCGTTTGTGCTAACATCACCCCTCTGTAGTCCCCGACTTTCTCCCCCTTCCCCTTCTTTCTTATGGGCACTATAATTCCCTCCCATCAACCTTCCGGTCAACCCTCTTCTTTCCACACTCTATTACATACCTCCCACAACCATTCCTTCAGCACCTCCCCTTCAAACTTTCATACCTTATTTGGAATTCTATAACTTCCCATCGCTTTGCCCTCCCTAAGCTTTTCCACCATTTCCCACATCTCTTCTCTCCTTATCTTCTCCTCTTTCTCTTCCAACTCCTCCCAACAAATCTCTGAAATACCTATCCCATTCCTGCATACTAATTCCCTCATTCAATCTTCTTCTCCTCTTTCTCTCTCTGTTTACCATCATCCATATCTGTCCCTCTGTCCTAATCTCCTTTACCTCCTTTTCCCATTTCTCCACTTCTCTTCTTTTCTTCTCCTTATACAACTTCTTGTATCGCTGTTTTTCCTCCCTATAACTGCCACTCTTCCTTCCTTTCCTTCTCTATTTCCTTAACATGAGCCCTTTTTCTTCCTTTTCTTACATTCTTCACCCCAACAGCCCTTTTCTCCGCCCTTTTTGCTTTTCCCATTCACTTCCCTTAATACCTTCCCTGTCCTTCTTTTCAGCCCCTGCCACTCTTCTTCCACTCCCCTTCCTGAATTTGCTTATCTCCCACTAATTCTTTAAATTTTTTCCTGCCGTCCTCCGACCAATCTCCTCTCTCACTTCCGCCCTTCCCCCCCTTCCTTTTACCCAAACCGTTTTCCACCCTTTCTACCCACGCCGTCACTGGCTGGTGGTCTGAGTCGACCTTCGCTTCCACCACTACCCGTTCTATCCTCTCCCTTGTCTTCCTGTCCCCCAAAACGCAGTCAATCACCGACTCCCCTCTCCTCTCTGTATACGTCCATTCTCCCTCCTCATCTTCTCTAATTCCTCCGTTAAATATGGCCCACTCATGCTCCTCCAAAAACCTACATAACTTTCTTTCCTCCCCGTTTACCTTGCTATCTTTTGTTCTTCTTTTCCCTTCTCCTCTCTCTTCCTCTCCCTCTACGAATCCCCCCTCCTTCCCCGTCCTTGCGTTAAAATTCCCCCTATCAGCACCCTCACTCCCGTCTCTATCTCCTTCCACCCATTATTTTAGGTTTTCCAATTTCCTGTCCATATCTTATTTATATACTCCTACTATGTTCCACCACTTCTTCCCTAACCTCACCTTTATCGATAGCATCCCTTCTTTATCTTTTTTCGTCCTTCCTTTTTCCATTTTGACCTCTACCCTCACCTCTACTATCATTCCTCCTACCGCCCTTCCCTTCCGATTTTTCCTCTCTGCTTTCTGCATTTCCCACACGTAACCTCTCGGCAGCTCTTTATCTTTTCTCATCCCTTACCATCCACCCACTTCTCACATAACACCATTACATCCCATTCCTCCAGCCCCTTCCAAAACTCTTTATCTTTATTTGTTAATCCCACCACATTCCAAAAAGCCACCTTACATATTGTCCTTCTCTCCTCTCTCTCTCTCTCTCTCTCTCTCTCTCTCTCTCTCTCTCTTCTCTCTCCCTCCTCCACCTCTTTCTCTCCAAATCTTCTCTCTAATTTCTCCCTCTTATCCTTCTCATTCTCTACTCTTCTTTCATTCACCCGTTCCCTCTTTCTTTTCTACTCAACTTACTTTTGCACTTCCTCTTTTTTGCTTTCCTTCCCTTTCCCTTGCCTTGCTTCCCAACACTTCCCTCTACTATCCCTAAGCACATCTCTTACCTTATCCCACACCCACCATTTCCCCTGTATCCATACCTCTCCCTGCCTTATCCGTACCCTCTCCTTTTGCCTTCCATGCAACTTGATTTACCCTCCATTTTCTTCCCACGTCAAATCTTCTTCTATCCAAGTACTTTTGTCTCCCAATTTCCACTTATTTCTCATTATTCTTGATTTCTCTTCTTCACTTCCTACTCTTACTACTGCCATACCTCCCTTCTCTCTCCTTTCCGCATCTACTTTTCTAATCTCCTCTATCTTAACCTCTAAGCCTATCTTTTTCATCACCTCCTCTACTCCCTTTATTCCTTCTGTATCCTCTTTCACTCCTTTTATCAAAATATTTCTCTTCCTTTCTCCTCTCTCTTTCACTTTATACCTCCCTTCCAGCTTTTCCACCCTCTCCTTCCAATCAGACTTCTCCCTACCCCCTCTCTTTTCCCTCCTCCGCTTTTTTCTGCACTTTTTCCTCCATCACGAACTCCTCCCTTTAACTCCATTTGCATCCCCTCCAATTTTCCTTCCAAATCTTTTATTTTATTCTTAACTCTTCTCTCTCCCTTCTTTATTTCTTCTCTCTCTCCTTTAGTTGGTTCCTTATTTTCTCAACTTCTTCCACCATTGCCTCCCTTTGCCCCTTCGCCACCTCTCTTAATTCCTGTCTCACTCTCCTTAACCCCTCCCTCAGCTGTTATCCTAATTCTCTCAACAACCCTTTCATATCTATATCTTCCCCCCCTGGTGGCGTTCTCACTATCTCCCTGCTTTTCTTGAAAAGGTCCTCGCTCCCTTTCCCAACCGCTCCTTCTTCCTTCTCCATTGTATCTTTCTTCCTCTTGAAAAGCTCGTCTATGTTCCCCGTACTACCGCGTCTCTCTTTTTCCAATTCTATGGCCGTATTGCTTCCCCGCGTTATTCCCGAACTCCTCAGAATTCCCTAGCTCTTTACCCTTTACCCCCCGCTCTATACTCTTCCCCTTCTACGTCTGTCTCTTTAACCTCAACCTTCCTGTTCCTCTTCAGCCTCCACGGGCTCTCTGAATCCTCCTTTCCCACACTGTGCTCGCCCCTCGCTTACCACACACTCTCTCTCGCTCTACCTCTCACACTCGCACTCCGTTATTCGCTTACAAAATCTGTCGTCTCACATCTAACCAATCGGAAACGGAAGTCCCTCATTTATTATTCCATTATCCCTCCTTTTCTTTTCCTTCTTTTGTTCTTTCTAACTCTTCACTATCTCATTTTCTATCCTTCCACTTAGAATCTCCTTAAGGCATTCACACATAATATGCCGTAAGGACGTAAAACGTAAGCGTAAGAAAATCGATCAATCCCAATCGAGTATTTTCCCCTGGGATTACGGACAGCACAATACTTGATTGGGATTGGTCGATTTTCTTACGCTTATGTTTTACGCGTCCTTACGCAATTTTATGTGTAAAGGCCTTTACACTTTCAATGTTTTTCACCGCCATCCTTCTTATTTCTTCCACCTCTATAATATTTCGCCTATTTTTTCTATTTATTTACTAAAAGATAATCTATTAGTACAATCTTACCTTTCCTTTTGTATGTCCACTTTTTTTCTCTCATTTCCCGTCACATTCCGTTAAATAAATTACTATTATTTTTAGATAATTTAATTAATTAATGTAATTAAATCAAATCGATTTAATTCCGGAGAGTTCCAGGGTTTTAATGTTTCAACAATAGCTGTGTTTCAAGTCCGACAAAAAATTGGTGCGCAGTTGAATAAGTTGGAAACATATATGTATACATACACACACAAATTAATATTAGGCTGTCAAAAATCTAAGCTTGGACCGTATAGCATTTTATTCTAATTTGATTATATATAGTAACGGTCCTATATCTCTTATTGTTATGATTATTTTTTATAATAATTTTATTTTATTGCTCATTATAAGCATATTGTATATATATTTTTTTAATTTTTTCTAATATGCATATTTTTTAAGTTACAAAAAATGCAATATGTAT